CTTGTCCTTCGGATGTGCAACGTAGCTTTAGTTCCATGAAAGGAGTTGCCACATGTTAGAAAATCGAATTCAAAATTTCTCTGCCGCAGAGGGTTGCGTAAAATATTTAACATCAAGTCATAAAATCTGTATCGTTCGTACGATTTTCAAAAATGAGGTGTCACATGAAAGCGCTTGACCTGCAGCTGTGCAGTATGGTTTTAGTCTTTTAAAGGGTGGCCATATATACGAAAATCAAATCCAAATTATTTATTAAGTTAAACGAATTATCCCAATATGGGTATCAAAAGAAATGGTTTTGAATAAGTTGTATTTTCTAGCTAAATGTAGGAGGGTTGTCACCAGTTTCAAAAGTAAAATTTAGTTAAATTATACAAAAGTCTTACGCTTAAAATACTATACAGTACAGAAAGAGCTTACAGAAACACAATTAAAATATTTTTGAGGTGCCTGAAGAGGGTGGCCACCTGTTTAAAAATTTAAACTCAAATTATTGAAGCAAATCTTATTATTATAGCTCCGTTATGTTTGCGATAAATATTTAACGTCACGGTACAGGTAGCATATGACGGGTATAGAAAACGAATGGCTGCGTTAAACGCCAATTGGGCGGGAAAAGACTAATGCAAAGACAAGAATATAATCAAAAACAAATATAAAGATAAGATGAAGATGAAGATGAAGATGAAGATGAAGATGAAGATGAAGATGATGGAGATGAAGAAGAAGATAAATGATTAAGATGAAGATAAAGATAAGTAGACTGTTATGATCTACCTGTAATTCTCGCAGGAGATCAATGTCAGCGTTTCGCTGGCTAAATCTGATGAACTGACCAAATTTTTTAAAGAAAAATTTTTACTGGAAATGGTTAATAGTAGAAATGACCCAACAACCTAAGGAGCGGCTACCATTGATGCGGGTTTTTCCAGAAATATTAAAAATATTGAAATAAAACGTTTCATATCTTTCTTTAGTTACCACAATCTACTAGTTAATACTGTAGATATGGATGTTTTGTCAGCCACAAATAATAATTTAACTTTTCAGTTGGTTATAATAAAAAATTAAAGGTCGTTAAAAAAAAATATGTTTTTTGTGTGTTAGAAAATATGTACATGTGTATGTATATCGCACATTTCTTTCTTTCTGGCATTTCCTCTATTAAGTTTCACTTCTTCCGCGCGTATGGACTACACGCTCTGAGTTTGTTTTATTACTTAAAAAATTTGTAAATTACTAGAACATTGAACGAACGAAAACAAGAACGAAACAAAGTTCAAAAGGGGCATATTATATTTCAAAAAAGTAATTTTGCTGCCTTTTCTCCCATGTGGCGATTTCTTAGAGGCTCGTATATAAGGCCCGCTGCACTGAAGAATTGCTCACTTGGAACGCTGGCCGGTGGACCGCTCAAATATTTGCGGGCCAGATCTGTCAATTGTCGTATTATAGTTTAATTTTCCACCAGTCGGAGAGGATTTTCACCGAGATGAGCTCGTTTTTCTTTAAGATAGGCCTTCAATTGAGCTTTAATTTCAAGTTTTTTAACGTCTCCAGATTCTACATCCGAGCCTTCGCTTTCGCTGGAGGAATCCAAAATTATTGCTAGGTTGCTTATAAGACTTTCAGCAGTACTTGTTGAAGGCCCATCAATGTTGCTTGATATACTACTTAACCGTTTAGTGGCTGAAGCTAAAAGCTGGTTATGGTCCGCACCCTGGTTAGACAGACCTAGTGCCATTTCAACAATATTAGAGTGAACTCTCTGCCCATGTATGAATTCGCATTCGTAAAAAATTCATATCATTTGATGTGAATGCGAATGCGACTGCGTAAAATGCTGCGAATCATTCGCATAACGAATGCGAATGCAAATATTCGAAACATCTCTGGTTCGGATATTCGTGTACTATGTATAGTAGGGATATCTGGATATACGGTTAGTATTCGCCAATTTTGTTTTCCGGATATCCTAATATTCCAAAAAATATTTGAACAGATTCGTAAAATTGTTCTCGAAATTACTGACTCTATCGAGTTGCAAAATATGTAAATAATAGAGCATTTTATTTTTATTTTAGTGCTAATTATTAGCTTCGAATATTCGGATATCTGGATATCTACATATACACTATTCGAATGTTCGGAATTTTATTCGTATAGTCGAAAAATATGGATAGAACTCTCAGCCCGAATTTCTACATACCTACTCGTATATACATACTTTCCATGAAATTTTAAAAGAAAAGTTGTTTCGTACAGTTGGTATTTTATAACTATGTAAGTGCGGCTGTGGTAGATGCCAGTTGGCGGCTACAAAATGAAATCATCTAATTCAATAATTAAAAAGCAATTAACTTAACAGGCACTTAAACTAAGTTTTAGAGCCTTAATGGAAAACCATGAGCTGAAAGTGATTCTGTGAGTACAGTGTTGGCACGAAGGACGAGATTTTTGTGACTTTTTGGTAGATTATTATTATTCTACTTAAATATGTATGTATGTATGTACATAAACATAACTTCATATAAACACAAATATATACATACAAAAAATAATGATAATAAAGACCTTGCCCTTAAGTTCGGTAAAGTTAAGATGGTACATCAACAAAAACACGCCCTTCAGCTACATTGAGTGGTTCATATTGATTACAAGATTTGCGTTGGGGAAGGTGTGTCTGTGACCTGTGTAACATGCCGGTTATCAAATTATAAATAAACGAAAATCGCAATCGTTTTCCCTAGTGATACAAAAACGCATTGTCAGCAAAACATACATTTCTTTGCCGGTTGAGTATGGGGTTTAAACCCTAGTTTCTTAAAAAAGCTGAGGTAATATGTCTGTGATATGGAAATAATAAATTCCATACAATTTTTGAATGAAACTAATAAAAGGATGCCGATTGATTTACATAAGTAGAAGTGGTAGTACACAGGTACAATACTCTTGACGCACGAGAATGTTTCAACTTGTCTAAAACTAAGTCTCGAACAGTTCTTCCAATTTCAACAGAGCTTAACGAATAAGTTAAGGCGAATCACAAAAATTAGGCATGGCATGGTAAAGGCAGTTTTCCTTTGAATTTTCATACTGCTATGCAGACGAGATGTGAAATGTGTACCAAAATGTATGCACATAACACATATTTAATTTTCATTAACAGATCCAAACCGGCTCGCGAGTCAGACGCAACGTGTAGTTATGCCATCTATTTGGTAAAATTTTTCCTTCAAATTAATAAGATTTTTAAATTTTATCTTCCATCCCTGATATGCAGTTAAAGTTGCACAACCAAACTCAATCTCGACTCTTTCCGTTCCCATTCGGTCCCTCTGCACAATACGAGATGCGGTAACCAACCAACCTATTGTGCAGTTTTGGGTCAAGACAGAAAGAGACGGAGGTTTGGGCTAGCTACTTCGACCTATTCGGTTTAAGGGCTCATTGGAAACAGTGTAGTCTGTTCAACAGTAAGTGCGACTGCAAACGTGTATCTGTCTTGGAGCACGCGGCTGGCTGCCCGCCTATGAGAGATATCCGATTATGGGAATGTCGTAAAAATAATATTTAAATTCAAATTTATAAAACTGATATTGCTGCTATCTATTGGTGATTTCGTTTCTACCAAAAAATGTTGCCTTGCCTTGTCGTGGTCTATCTGACGCAATTTATAATATTGTCGTATTAAGCAACCATCTGATT